GTATTGATAGGCAGACGTTGAAAATTATGATTCTTCAGGGTTAAAATATTTTCTGATTTTAATAGGTATGTTATTAGTAATAAAAATAATAATAATATAATAATATAATGTAATATCTTATTACAAATAATTGATTCAATGTGATTAATAATTTTTTTAACTAATTTTCGCAAAGAATGATATTTACAGTACCTATCTTTGGAAATGCGGGAGATAAATATGCTTGATGAATTAACAGTTTTGGCAACACCGAATACGATATCTTTTTTAGTTAATTTCATCGGTGATGTCAATATTTTTTTAAAATTACAATGGCTTGTATAATATATTTTAAAATATTATAAATTAATATTATGTATTACACTTAAAATTATGAAGAATTTAGTTTATATTTTAAATAGAGGTACTTAAAGTAGAATGATAAAATATTGAATACTACAAGTATAAAATTATAAACTTTACATGTAATATTAAAAATTCATACTTAAAGATTTTGAAGGAGTTAATAAAAAATATTATTTGAATTATTTATTATATTATATTAAAATCAACTTAAAAGTAAATAAATTATGTAATTATACTTTTTTCTCACGACAAAAAAATTGAAAATAAAATAAAATAAAATATGTAAAAGGTCGTAACCTTGTAAATTGAATTTATTTTAATTTTAATACCATAAATTAATGTACTATTATTCATACCTAGCTATAATTATGAGTGTTGATTTGAAAAGTTTATTAAGTACTATATTATGACAATTTTAGTTTTGCACGCTATACTGTTATTCATTGTCACATTGAATTAAACGTGTGTTAATAAAAGCTGTACTCGTTATTTCACGAAATTTCTTAAATTTTTTATACAACTTCTTATTATTATTTTATTTTTTTAAATAAAATTTATATTGAAACATATAAGTATCGATTCCAAAAATAATTTATATAACAATTCTGTTTTTTCCCTTCCAAAACAAAGTCCATTATACCCATAACTGATATGAATGAAGTTATTTTTAAGCTATAATTAATTAAAGTTAGACCTAGCTCACTGACCAGGTTTCAGATATAATATCTGCAAAATATGATAAAAAATATTAAAATATTATACCATATAATAAATGAGTAAAATAAGATTATAGTATACATAACAAAAAAATGTAAAGTTTCAAAACAATTTCTTATCACTTTATGAATGAACCATGTCATATAAAAAAAAAAACGAATAATGCATTTAAATTTATAAAATTTCTTAATTTCACAATTTATCTTTTTAACTCTAATAGTACATAGTACCAAATTCACAAGTAGTGTTAACAATGACTAAGACGGTTACAACTAAGATTAAATATGATGCAGCTATGTATATATAATATCATTCAAAAAAATGCCCTAAAACACTGTTTAGAGTTTGCACGCATTTTTATCAATATCACGATCTATCTGTTTATGTCTATTTATGTTTTATTTCCTTTTTTTAACATTTCCATAATTTATGAATTGAAATGAAAAAAAATGCTATCTGGCAAGTATAATAAAATTCAATATGACCCAAAAGTAGCAAAACCTCTAGTATTATAATTTAAGTTAATTACCTTTCGTTCGTGTTATGTTAACCAAGTGGTGGAATTTGTGTATGCTATGAAAATATAATATTGCGGTTATGTTATGATTTCAGTTTTGTTCGTGTCGATGGTTATTTTGATATGACCTTCGGATTAATTTTTACATTTTTATAAGAGATCTTGAGTCGTTCATTTATGTTTTAAAATGAGACGGTCAAGAGCGGTCAAGGACTCCTTACGATTTTGATTGGCTGAAAAACGGTTATGTAAAATTAAAATAAATAATAATAAACTTTTAACAATCCAAGGGTTAATATATTTATTAAAATTAATTCATAACGTTATCGTTATTCCCTAATTAAGCATTTTCACATTTTTGGATTAAAAAAAACCTCGCACTACGTATATAATAATTATAATGTAATAAATTAATAATGATTATATGTTCAAATATCATAAGCTAAACAATTTTTTAGTCTTCACTAAATTTGTATTAAATTATTTTGGTAGTATCTATATTAAAATTTTGTATTTCTTAAGGCAAAACAAAAATTGCTTTATTGTGTTCTGAGCTTTAACATTTTAGTTAGTATTTTTCATAAAAAATGATTACATGTTCTCATTATAATTGAAAATATTATCATAAATTCGATATACTGAAAAATTATAAAATTCGAATTTTAATTTTTAATATTTTCTTTTTTGAATAAATACGAGTTTAATTTTATACATGCAAACGCGAGGTTATTTATTATAAATATTAATCATAAATAATCATAATTTTTATTTATAATCTTCATTAAAAAATTTAGAAACATTTTAAACTCTAATAAAAACTATGATTTTAAAAATTGTAAATAAATACTACTCAATATATCTATAGGTCTTTCCATTTAGTTTGAAAACGTGTCCTTTATCGAAGGGACTTTAACGCAATGTACATATATTGCAGTATTATAGGAATTAATTTTAATTGTAGACTTGTGTTTAGTATTTTTTCAATGTATTCTAAATAAAATTAACTTTATTTTACTTTAACTTGTCCTATACATATAATTGATTTAAAATAATTTGTCCAGATTAATGGAGTAATTTAATTATTTCACATTTAATATTATTATTATTTAACTGTTTTTAAAAAAAAAAGTTTCTATTTATTATAAAATACAATATATAAATTCTATATTTTTGGTACTTGTATACGATCAGTGTAAAATAACTTTAACATATTTTCATCCTATTATCGTTGTTTAAGATTATATTTTTAGATTGTTGTTCCCTTTAAAACTCGATTTCCATCGATGTTTACAAATCTTTTAAATACAGTAGAATCCGATTATAACGATCTATAAGAGAACTAAAGAATCGGATCGTTGTATCCGGATGACGAACCATTATCTATGTGAGATATAAAACCGACCAAATACATGACTAGGAATCGTTTTAACCGGAATATCGCTGTATACGGCATCGTAATAAGCGAATTCTACTATATATCGGTTTTGCATTGTTTCCCTTGACCTTAAATAACGAATTTACTGCATGTACACATTAAACACAAATATTTAATGACGTAAATCGTAATAACTCAATTTATTTATTACTGCTTTTAAACTGTTACAGTGGTGTGGTGGCGATGATTTTTCCTCGTTTTGTTCTCTCGACAATGTATTTTTCGTAGATATAAACACTGTATAAGGTATGTCGTGATAGGCTATACACGCGGGTTGAACCGCAGTGAGTCCCCTGCGCGCGAAAACGACCGGAAGTGCACCTCCACCCGAGATACATCCGCCGAAACAATACGTACAACAATAATGAATGCAATGTATACACGGCGTGAAACGGCGGAGTTCTGTATTCCACGTATTCGGTAGTGCCTTTGCATGTCGACGAAAACAATAATTATAACTGTTTTATCATTATTATTACTATAAGTATTATTATCACGGTGATTACCTGTATGGCGAGCGAACGCACGTGGGAGAGAATGAGAGAGAGAGAAGCGTTGACCGGATGGAAAAACGGGCCGAGAGTGGTGGGATGAGTCGAAATACGGGGCGATAAAGGGAAAGGTGTTGCTGAGGGTGTGCGAAATTGCCGTCGAAGATGGTCAAGGGCTCGGCACGCACCTCTTAAACGGCAGTGTCTTGACCACGACGCGAAGTCGGCCGCGCCCAAGACCTTGACGCGCCCGACGACCGCTGGTGCGTCCGAAACGGTTCATATTACACCTCCATACAACCCTAACCACTACGGCGCGCCGGACACGACGAAAGCGAACTCGCGCGGCTGCACAACAGTCGACAGCAAACAACCGCGTGCGATCGCCACCAGAAAAGTCGCATCGTTCACAACATGTGATATTATTAATAAACCACGTTCTCTTGCACCTCGAAATCGATATTATCACGATCGTCTTTTTAAACCGCGTGTGCTCGAACGGTCGCAATCGTAGTCGCTGTGTTAACGTTCGGCCGTCGTCGTTATTTCGATTCTTTTTTCCCCCGTCCACTAACCGTTTTCGTCGCACTGCCGGGGTGCAATAGTGCAACACATTCGTCACACTCGTATCACACGTCGTGGTCGGTGCACGTTTTTTCCTCGTCGTCTGCCGCCGCCGCCACCGTCATCAGAATCTTAGCTGCGCGCCGCCCGATCGCGCACACCAATGGAATGGCAGTCGCGTTCACCGTACTGCACTCGTTCATTGCCGAGCACGCCGAGCAGGTACATTGCACGCACTCAAGACGTGCGCGATTCTCTGTCCCTACATGTTGCCACTCGAGGCTTTTACATTGTTTTTAGTTTTTTTTTTTTTGTCTCCTTTATCGAAATCTTATTCCGTCCCAAAACTTTCGCCGAAACGTGTTTGGAATCAAATGTATCAACACAATTGAAAAAGTATAACGACACTTCGGTTACGATTTTTGTCAGTCGACGACAATTCGTTTACACATGTACGACCATCTACGTTTACGTTCGCGACTATCGCAAACGTTGTAGACGTTATGGAAACGTCTTACAGATTTGTCTCCGAACAAACTTTTTTCGTATGTACTCGTTTTTATCCATGCACATATAAATACGCTCTTGCAGGTGTGTTCGAGTACTGTACTCGTTAAGGTACTGTGTTTACAACATCACACATTTGTAGATGATATACATGATTATTTTTTTAAATTTTAAAAATTAATAATTATAAATGATTAGTAGATTTTTTTGTAAACGTGGGAATACAAAAACATCAAAAGATTTATTATTAGATGATATGTTATAATTTGTCCTTTTTTTTCTTTTTTTTTAAAAACTACTTAATAATTGTTTCTAATTCCAGACTATGTTCGATATTTTGTAACTAAAAACTAATAAATTATTTTTGTTCTTCTTGTGGTAAGCATAATATATTTATTTAATATTTTGTTATTGTTTATTGCAGAATACAAATTACGGTAAGAAATCTGGAGGATGGAACTCAACTACTACTCCGGCCACTGGTTCGGGTTGGTCGAGACAATCGTCTATAAGCAGAAAACAGTCGATAGCTGACGCTAACGATTTGACTTCAGCTACTTCCGGTCTTAATATAACTAAATCATCTACCAATAGAGTAATAAGGATCATTAATAATTTCGACCACACGGTGCAGGTTAGTGAATAATTTATACTATTTAATACGAACAATTTAAGTATACATTGTAAGATTACCATCACCTAAAATCTAATGTCTACAATGCTTTTGGAAAATTTTTCGAATTTGTATTCTTATTATGAATTTATTCAATGCATACAAAAAATTATTAATGAAACCAAAAATGTTGATCAGGAATTTAAACTATTTTAGATATAATAAAAGTTATCAATAAAATGATTGCATCTTCAGATTTAGCTGTGAACTGAAAATGTCATTAAAAAAAATATATATGGCAAGTAAGCCGTCTTAAGGTTTCAGAAAATGTATTAAAATTTGTTCAAACAATGTTTTATTATATTAACATAATAAAAAAAAAAAAAATAAATCTATGTTTTCGAGATTTTGTTTAAAATTTTACAATTGTTAATTTAATATTTTATTTATTTAAAATTATCAGATTCAAAATTTTAAAAATTTAGCTTAAATAAACCTTTTATTTGTAAGAATACATTTCCAATGAAATTATAGAATATTACATTGTATTTATACTTTTAAAGTATATTTAAATTATGTGATAAACTGTGAATGTACATTATTGGTCGTTGTATAATTCTTAGATTTGTTTATTGTAGAATACATAATACATTCCAATTAACTTTAAAAGGAATGAAAATTTCTATATTAATCGATAATTATTCTAAATAACCTTATTATTATAGGCGCAATTCGAGGGGGCTTGGGTATGCTTAGCACCCCCATTTGTTAAATTAGCATCCCTAAATGTGTTTATTTTAATTTACATTTAAATACTAATTACTTATTATGTATACAAAAATGGAGTTTTTATTGTATAAATATATAAAATTATTATTTAAATAATGGTGGTGGAAGTTTGTCCTTCTTTTCGGTTCTCGAACTAGATAATAGTAACAGGTAGGGTTACTAGATTTTTAAATCCCTAAATTTAAACCATTATATTGAATGACTCATAAAGACACAAAAAATTAGGTATTTTTTAAAGTTCTATATTTAAATCGAAATCGCCATTAAACAATTTTATCAAATACGAAAAAAAATATCTTTGCTACAGGGTAAAAGTTTCAAGTTTCTAGTCACATTACTTTTGGAATTATGACTAAATAACTAAAGTCTGAAAAGTGCATTCACTTTTCATTAAAGTCTCATTTACAGCGTATTTTTACCGTTTCAGGACAGTTTTTTCCTCACGCTTAGAAAAAAAAATAACGATTTTAAAAAAATGACCTATTTAAAGTACCATTAATATTTCCTAGAAAAAACTTTTGGACCATTATTTCTACACAAAAAAGTGTTAAAAAAATAAAATACAAACATCATTATAAAACCATAATATTCTTCGCTT